GGGCTGGAAGCGCTCGTTCCGAGCGTTTTTCTTCCGCCGGGTCACGTGGCTGCGCTCGTCTGGGCCTATTTCCAAGCCAGCAAGGGCGTGGGAGGGTTGCGAGCATCATCGGTCATCGGCGCTCGCGAATGAAGAGCGCCCGCTGCACTTCCTGCACATGTGGGTATCCTTCCGCGTTTGGGGGCTGGAAGCGCTCGTTCCGAGCGTTTTTCTTCCGCCGGGTCACGTGGCTGCGCTTGTCTGGGCCTATTTCCAAGCCAGCAAGGGCGTGGGAGGGTTGCGAGCATCATCGGTCATCGGCGCTCGCGAATGAAGAGCGCCCGCTGCACTTTCTGCACATGTGCGGATCCTTCCGCGTTTTGGGGCTAGAAGCGCTCGTTCCGAGCGTTTTTCTTCCGCCGGGTCACGTGGCTGCGCTTGTCTGGGCCTATTTCCAAGCCAGCAAGGGCGTGGGAGGGTTGCGAGCATCATCGGTCATCGGCGCTCGCGAATGAAGAGCGCCCGCTGCATTTCCTGCACATGTGCGGATCCTTCCGCGTTTTGGGGCTGGAAGCGCTTGTTCCGAGCGTTTTTCTTCCGCCGGGTCACGTGGCTGCGCTTGTCTGGGCCTATTACCAAGCCAGCAAGGGCGTGGGATGGTTGCGAGCATCATCGGTCATCGGCGCTCGCGAATGAAGAGCGCCCGCTGCACTTCCTGCACATGTGCGGATCCTTCCGCGTTTGTGGGGCTGGAAGCGCTCGTTCCGGGTGTTTTTCTTCCGCCGGGTCACGTGGCTGCGCTCGTCTGGGCCTATTACCAAGCTAGCAAGGGCGTGGGAGGGTTGCGAGCATCATCGGTCATCGGCGCTCGCGAATGAAGAGCGCCCGCTGCACTTCCTGCACATGTGCGGATCCTTCCGCGTTTTGGGGCTGGAAGCGCTCGTTCCGAGCGTTTTTCTTTCGCCGCGTCACGTGGCTGCGCTCGTCTGGGCCTATTACCAAGCCAGCAAGGGCGTGGGAGGGTTGCGAGCATCATCGGTCATCGGCGCTCGCGAATGAAGAGCGCCCGCTGCACTTCCTGCACATGTGGGTATCCTTCCGCGTTTTGGGGCTGGAAGCGCTCGTTCCGAGCGTTTTTCTTCCGCCGGGTCACGTGGCTGCGCTTGTCTGGGCCTATTTCCAAGCCAGCAAGGTCGTGGGAGGGTTGCGAGCATCATCGGTCATCGGCGCTCGCGAATGAAGAGCGCCCGCTGCATTTCCTGCACATGTGCGGATCCTTCCGCGTTTTGGGGCTGGAAGCGCTCGTTCCGAGCGTTTTTCTTCCGCCGGGTCACGTGGCTGCGCTTGTCTGGGCCTATTTCCAAGCCAGCAAGGGCGTGGGAGGGTTGCGAGCATCATCGGTCATCGACGCTCGCGAATGAAGAGCGCCCGCTGCACTTCCTGCACATGTGCGGATCCTTCCGCGTTTTGGGGCTGGAAGCGCTCGTTACGAGCGTTTTTCTTCCGCCGGGTCTGCGCTTGTCTGGACCTATTACCAAGCCAGCAAGAGCGTGGGAGGGTTGCGAGCATCATCGGTCATCGGCGCTCGCGAATGAAGAGCGCCCGCTGCACTTCCTGCACATGTGCGGATCCTTCCGCGTTTTGGGGGTGGAAGCGCTTGTTCCGGGCGTTTTTCTTCTGACGGGTCACGTGGCTGCGCTTGTCTGTGCCTATTACCAAGCCAGCAAGGGCGTGGGTGGGTTGCAAGCATCATCGGTCATCGGCGCTCGCGAATGAAGAGCGCCCGCTGCAATTCCTGCACATGTGCGGATCCTTCCGCGTTTTGGGGCTGGAAGCGCTCGTTCCGAGCGTTTTTCTTCCGCCGGGTCACGTGGCTGCGCTTGTCTCGGCCTATTACAAAGCCAGCAAGGGCGTGGGAGGGTTGCGCACATCATCGGTCATCGGCGCTCGCGAATGAAGAGCGCCCGCTGCACTTCCTGCACATGTGCGGATCCTTCTACGTTTTCGGGCTGGAAGCGCTCGTTCCGAGCGTTTTTGTTCCGCCGCGTCACGTGGCTGCGCTTGTCTGGGCCTATTACCAAGCCAGCAAGGGCGTGGGAGGGTTGCGTGCATCATCGGTCATTGGCGCTCGCGAATGAAGAGCGCCCGCTGCACTTCCTGCACGTGTGCGGATCCTTCCGCGTTTTGGGGCTGGAAGCGCTCGTTCCGAGCGTTTTTCTTCCGCCGGGTCATGTGGCTGTGCTTGTCTGGGCCTATTACCAAGCCAGCAAGGGCGTGGGAGGGTTGCGAGCATCATCTTGGTTCGTGCGCACAGATAAGTTCAGCGTCTACGATGACGGCTGTGTCTGCCGTCAAATGGTAACGAAGCGCATGGATCCCTATAACCGTAGGGAAAGGCATCGAATGACCTGAATGTTGTTGCATATTGGGGTCGCCCATGCTCAAATACACCTACCAGAGCAATTTCAGCTTGGTTCGTGCGCACAGAAAAGTTCAGCGCCTGCGATGATGGCTGTGTCTGCGGACAAATGGTAACGAAGCGCATGGATCCCTATAGGCGTAGGGAAAAGCATCGAACGACCTGAATGTTTTTGCATATCTTGGTGGCCCAAGTTCAAATACACCTACCATAGCAATTTCAGCTTGGTTCGTGCGCACAGAAAAGTTCGGCGCCTGCGATGACAGGTGTGTCTGCCGAGAAATGGTAACGAAGCGCATGGATCCCTATAGGCGTAGGGAAAAGCATCAAACGACCTGAATGTTGTTGCATATTCTGGTGGCCCATGTTCAAATACACCTACCAAAGCAATTTCAGCTTGGTTCGTGCGCATGGAAAAGTTCGGCGCCTGCGATGACGGCGGTGTCTGCCGAGAAATGGTAACGAAGCGAATGGATCCCTATAGGCGTAGGGAAAAGCATCGAACAACCTGAATATTGTTGCATATTTTGGTGGCCCATGTTCAAATACACCTACCAGGGCAATTTCAGCTTGGTTCGTGCGCACGGAAAAGTTCGGCGCCTGCGATGAAGGCGGTGTCTGCCGAGAATTGGTAACGAAGCGCATGGATCCCTATAGGCGTAGGGAAAAGCATCGAACGACCTGAATGTTGTTGCATATTCGGGTGGCCCATGCTCAAATACACCTACCAGAGCAATTTCAGCTTGGTTCGTGCGCACGGAAATGTTCGGCGCCTGCGATGACGGCCGTGTCTGCCGACAAATGGTAACAAAGCGCATGGATCCCTATAGGCATAGGGAAAAGCATCGAACAACCTGAATATTGTTGCATATTTTGGTGGCCCATGTTCAAATACACCTACCAGGGCAATTTCAGCTTGGTTCGTGCGCACGGAAAAGTTCGGCGCCTGCGATGAAGGCGGTGTCTGCCGAGAATTGGTAACGAAGCGCATGGATCCCTATAGGCGTAGGGAAAAGCATTGAACGACCTGAATGTTGTTGCATATTCGGGTGGCCCATGCTCAAATACACCTACCAGAGCAATTTCAGCTTGGTTCGTGCGCACGGAAATGTTCGGCGCCTGCGATGACGGCCGTGTCTGCCGACAAATGGTAACAAAGCGCATGGATCCCTATAGGCATAGGGAAAAGCATCGAACGACCTGAATGTTGTTGCATATTCGGGTGGCCCATGCTCAAATACACCTACCAGAGCAATTTCAGCTTGGTTCGTGCGCACGAAAAAGTTCGGCGCCTGCGATGACGGCCGTGTCTGCCGACAAATGGTAACGAATCGCATGGATCCCTATAGCCGTAGGGGAAAGCATCGAACGACCTGAATGTTGTTGCATATTTTGGTGGCCCATGCTCAAATACACCTACCAGAGCAATTTCAGCTTGGTTCGTGAGCACGGAAAAGTTCGGCGCCTGCGATGACGGCCGTGTCTGCCGACAAATGGAAACGAAGCGCATGGATCCCTATAACCGTAGGGAAAAGCATCGAACGACTTGAATGTTGTTGCATATTCGGGTGGCCCATGCTCAAATACACCTACCAGAGCAATTTCGGCTTGGTTCGTGCGCACGGAAAAGTTCGGCGCCTGCGATGACGGCCGTGTCTGCCGACAAATGGAAACGAAGCGCATGGATCCCTATAACCGTAGGGAAAAGCATCGAACGACTTGAATGTTGTTGCATATTCGGGTGGCCCATGCTCAAATACACCTACCAGAGCAATTTCGGCTTGGTTCGTGCGCACGGAAAAGTTCGGCGCCTGCGATGACGGCCGTGTCTGCCGACGAATGGTAACGAAGCGCATGGATCGCTATAGGCGTACGGAAAAGCATCGAACGACTTGAATGTTGTTGCATATTCGGGTGGCCCATGCTCAAATACACCTACCAGCGCAATTTCAGCATGGTTCGTGCGCACGGAAAAGTTCGGCGCCTGCGATGACGGCGGTGTCTGCCGACGAATGGTAACGAAGCACATGGATCCCTATAGGCGTACGGAAAAGCACCGAACGACCTGAACGTTGTTGCATATTCTGGTGGCCCATGTTCAAATACACCTACCAAAGCAATTTCAGCTTGGTTCGTGCGCACAGAAACGTTCGGCGCCTCCGATGATGGCTGTGTTTGCCGACAAATGGTAACGAAGCGCATGGATTTCTATATGCGTAGGCAAAAGCATCGAACGACCTGAATGTTGTTGCATATTTGGGTGGCCCATGATCAAATACACCTACCAGAGCAATTTCAGCTTGGTTCGTGCGCACATAAAAGTTCGGCGCCTGCGATGACGGCAGTGTCTGCCGACAAATGGCAACGACCTGAAAAGCATCGAACGACCTGAATGTTTGATGTTTTTCCCTACCCCTATAGGGATCCATGCACTTCGCTACCATTTGTCGGCAGACACAGCCGTCATCGCAGGCGCCGAATTTTTTCTGTGCTTCACGAACCAAGCTGAAATTGATTTGGTAGGTGTATTTGAACATGGACCACCCCAATATGCAACAACATTCAGGTCGTTCGATGATTTTCTCTATGCCTATAGGGATCCATGCGCTTCGTTACCATTTGTCGGCCGACACAGCCATCATCGCAAGCGCCGAACTTTTCTGTGCGCACGAACCAAGCTGAAATTGCTATGGTAGGTGTATTTGAGCATGGGCCACCCGAATATGCAACAACATTCAGGTCGTTCGATGCTTTTCCCTAAGCCTATAGGGATCCATGCGCCTTCGTCCCCCAGCTGGGACTGCAGCTCCAGTCCCCAAGCTGGGACTGCAGCTCCAGTCCCCCCAGAATATCGACCTACCAGCTATCCCGCCCTCTTTGCCTCATCTCTCTCCTCTCCCTTCCCTTGCGACAGCTGTCAGGCGATGACTTCCTCTTCACCACCTACCAGGCCATCGAGAAAGGCGAGCCGCTGAGGCATCGTCCCAACCCTTCCTCGCCCTCTCCTCCTGCCCCCTCCCCCGCGGCCCGCCCCATTACCCCCCTTTTCCCTCCTCGCCAGCTGTCAGGGGACCACTTCCTCTTCACGACCTACCAGGCCATCGAGAAAGGCGAGCCGCTGAGGCATCTTCCCAGCCCTTCCTCGCCCTCTCCTCCTGCCTCCTCCCCCGCGGCCCGCCCCATTACCCCCCTTTTCCCTCCTCGCCAGCTGTCAGGGGACCACTTCCTCTTCACGACCTACCAGGCCATAGAGAAAGGCGAGCCCCTGAGCATATCGTACGTTGCCAAGCCCACCATTGACATGGTGTCCGAGTATGGCTTTGTGCCTTCATACAACCCCTTCGACACCGTGCTGCTCTTCCCCAGGTGAGATGTTCCATTGCAGTATTGCATGCTTGCGTTGCACTTGCGCTGCACTCTCTACCACTCTTACCTTGAGCATATCGTATGGAGCCAAGCCCACCAAGGACATGGTGTCGGAGTATGGCTTCGTGCCATCGTACAACCCCTTCGACACTGTCGTGCTCTTCCCCAGGTGAGATAGTGCCCTGCATCGCACTCTCTACCACTCTCTACGACTCATCAGTGAGCATCTAGTAGACCCAAGCCCACCACAGACATGGTGGCGGAGTATGGCTTCGTGCCATCGTACAACCCCTTTGATACTGTCATCCTCTTTCCCAGGTGAGTGCCGCATCGTGTGCTTGCATTCCACTTGCGTTGCACTCTTTACCACTCCCCGCTGAGCATATCGTATGGAGCCAAGCTCACCATGGACATGGTGTCGGAGTATGGCCTCGTGCCATCATACAACCCCTTCGACACTGTCGTCCTCTTCCCCAGGTGAGTGGTTGATTGCGTGCTTCATTGCCTTATCTACGCACCGACATGGTGAGTATGGCTTTGTGCCCGCATACAACCCCTTCAAATCAATGCTGCTCTACTCTTCCCCAGGTACTCTGCAGCACTCTTTCGTTGTGCTCCTGAGTGTTGAAGTGACAAAGCAATCCCTCCCAGTGACCCACTTTTGCTCTTTGATTCAGCCTTCTCTCTTTCTTCTTTCTCCAACCCTCCGTTCTTTATCTCCGGTTCTGCTCGTCTGGTGGAGTATACAGTACAGCAGACGCATCCCACTCAACTGCACCCCACCTAGTCACACCCTGCTAATGCAACACTGAGGGGGGCCCTGAGGGTTGCGGCTTCGGTGAGGGAGGTGGTGGTGAGGATGAGAGAGGAGAGGCAGACGGGGGTGCAGGGATAGGGGTGGCCGGGGGAGGAGGAAGGAGAGGGGCAGGAGACGCAGGGGGAGGAGGGGCAAGGTGGGGACGGGCAGGGGGAGGAGGTGCAGGTGGGGAAGGGGCAGGGGGAGGAAGGGCAAAGGGATGGCACGAGTGGGGATGGCAGCAGGGGTGGGGAGTGGTGGGAGGGGATGGAGAGCGAGGAGGAGGAGTTTGAGAGCGCAAAGAGGCAGCTGGTGGTGTGGGCGGGCGGGCATGCGAGCCCTGAGTTGCTGGCCATGGCTGCTGCTGTGTGGCACTGGATTGACACAGGACGAGGTAAGAACAGGGAGGGGTGAGAGTGCGGCGAGGTTAGGGAGTTGGAGGGGTTGTGAGTGGTGGAGTGCGGTGATATGGTTAGAGATTGGGCGGGCGGGCATGCGAGTCCTGAGGTGCTGGCCATGACTGCTGCTGTGTGGCACTGGTCGACCACAGGACGAGGTGAGAGCGTTTGGGGGGTTGAGTGTGGTGGAGTGTGGTAAAGTGGTAGGAGAATTGGTGGGTGGGCGTGTGCACATATGAGATGCTGGCCATGGCCGCTGCTGTGTGGCACTGGATGACCACATGGCGAGGTGAGAGTTGATTTGGAGGGGTTGAGTGTGGTGGAGTGTGGTAGAATGGTAGGAGAATGGGGGAAGGGGGCGTGCGAGTCCTGAGTTGATGATTCTTTTTTCCCATCCCTCGCCCTTGTCCCCTCCTCTGCCCTCTCCCCTACCTCCCTCTGTCCCCATCCACGCCTTTGCCCCCTCCTCCGCCCTCTCCTCGACCCCCTACCATGCGTACTCTTCTCCAGAGTTGGATTTGAAGCAACTCGCCAGGGCAGCCACACACCTGAGTGCCCCCATCTTGCGCACAGAGAATCCACAGCCTTCTCAGCTGCACTCTCCCCATTACCCTTTCTCCCTGCGCACTATTCTCCATAGTTGAATGCGGAGCAGCTCGCCAGGGCAGCCGCGCACCTGAGTGCACCCATCATGGACAACGGGAGATCTCAGCCCTCTCAGCTGCTCCCTCCCTCGCTTCGTCTCCCCTGCTTCCTCTCCCCCCTCTTCCCATGCTCATTTTTTCTCAGAGTTGGATGCGGAGCAGCTCGCGAGGCAGCCATGCACCTGAGTGCACCCATCTTGGACAACGGGAAACCTTTTACTGATGATGATTATGGGGCTGCTGATGGTGCCACTGCTGGTGCTGCTGATGGTGATGGTGGTGATAATAACGGGGGCCCAGCTCCTGGTGCTGCTGCCTCTGCTGCTGATGATGATGATGGTGATAGTGATGGTGGTGATAATGGAGAGAATGTGGGAGCAGCAGCAGAAGAGTTTAGGGCTGATTCCCATGGTACAGAGGGACAAGAAGCTGGAGCCAGCACAGCAGACGAACCTCATGACATGGAAGCACAGGCTGCTGACACGTGGCAGCAGCTGGCCCAGTCCACGTCAGCAGACATCCTATCCTCCCTGTCATCAGCAGCGTGCGCGATACAGCAGCGGGTGAGGGCCCTCTTGGCCGTGGGGCTGACTGGTGAGGAGAAGGGGCAGGTAGCGAGAGAGGCGTCTGAAGCGGAGTCAGGGGGATGGTCGTTCTCATCGGATTATTATGAGGATGAGGATAGGCTGAGGGAGCTGGTGGCGTGTCGAGGGGGCAGGTACAGGAGTGCGAGTGAGATCTTGGCAGGGACTGACGGGGAAACGAGTGGCGAGGAGGAGCAGGGAGGTAGGGAGGGAGAAGTGGAAGAGGGAGAGCAAACAAGTGGCCTGGCGGGTGGTTCGGCGAGCAAGCCGGTGTGCTCGCCTGGTGTGATGCGGTGGGTGCACGAGAGGGAGACAGTGCTGCAGTTTCAGATGGTGAAGAAGTCGATTCTGAGTGAGGAAGATGTGGCCATGGGTGAGTGGTGCCGCAGCATGGGGCGTGCTACGAGCTAATGACTGGCTACTGTAGGATGGGTTGGGGTGGGATGGAGTAAGATGGGGTAGGTAGGATAATCTTTTGCTGGATAGAGGGATGCAGTGGGTGCATGAGAGGAGGGTTGCAGTTTTTGCATGGATCTGTTGTGAGAAGTATCAACAAGATTGATATGTTGACTTGTGGGTAACTTAGAGATAGTAATGCAAGACTTATACAAAGCTGCGTAGTTATTTAACCTCACGCGAAGCCCAATAATAACATGGAAAATTTAGCTTGGCGGAAGTTTTACCTCTACTGAAACAGTTCTCAACTATCAAATCATTTTTCATCAGCACTTCTGCTAGGTTATATTTGCTGTATCTCAGCAAATGATATAATATTGTACCAGCTTCACATTTTTCAGTGTATATTTCGAAATTGTCGTCACTCGCAAGCTCCTGTCAGTCAGAAGATAACAATTCCTTTGGCGAATCAGCGACGAGAAGGTTTTTTGCCAGGAATTGTTGCTTGCCCATTTGATGACTTTCGCCATCCACAGACCAGTTTCAGGGAGGGTGGAGGGCAGGGCTGTCGTTTCGTTTTGGGGCCCCCGGACTAATCAGGGGGCCCGGCATGTACGACCCTGTATTTAGCAGGGTAGGGGCGGATCTCGGCCATTTAGGCTTCAGGGCTGAAAAAAGACCTCCCTGTAAATCAGGTTTGGCGCGAAAATTCTGCAGCCTCATTTCTACCACAAAGGAACAGCTGCACACTGCAAGTATTACAAAAAGCTGAGACTACATAAAAAAAAACTAGTATGCGTCATTCACTACGCACGCTTAACAGACTTCCTCCCCTTCCAACTCTTAGCAGGGATCTGTGATGTGTTTTGCTGCTGCTATGCCGATTCATGCCTGCTGGTGCACTCCACGACGGGGATCTGAGATGTGTTTTGCTGCTGCTTTGCTGATTCATGCTGCTGCCTGTGTCATGGGATGGGAGCGAGGTTGTGATTGGCGCAAGTACCAGTTGTATGTTGAGTTGATCTGTGGCCCAGCCACGCAACTCCAGATTTGCCAGGTTTTAATGCAATCAAGATAGAAACGGGGGGAGGGGGAGTGGAGGAGTTTGTGGGGGGGGGGGGGGAAGGGGTGGGAGGTGGGGTTCGAAAGATTTTGTTCCAGGGCTCGCCCAAAATCTACCCTTATACTCCAGGCCTAAGCCCGAAATCAGCCCTGTAAGGAATCAGGGCCAGACAATGTTCAACCCATCAATTTCAGGTTTCAAGGGCAACCCAGCCCTGGAATTCAAGGTCCAGCAGGGCAAACGCCCTGCAAGCGACAGGCCTGGTGGAGGGCAAGCCAAGCCAACAGCCAATCTCAACCACAGCCACGTCGCACCACGGCTAAGGTTTACGTCGGTCCCATTGGTTCAAACCAAAGCTTCAAACTCAAACGATTGGGCTTGCCGCCTTCCAAACTGACCCTCATGCAGTGCGGGTTGGGATGACATGGCAAACGTTCACCCGGGAGAATCCCGCAACTCCCGCCTTTGCCAACGGAAACCTCGCTGAAAAACGTCATTGTCGTTCGACGCGCGCAGCCGCTGAGGTGACGAGGCGACACGCGAACAGAAATCAGTCGGCGATTTTCGTTTTCTCTTCACTGACCGACTGAATCAAGTGCCACGTGAACGATTCCTGACCGGCTATGGAGTGGACTCTCGAATCTCCCTGTCATGAGCAAAACTTGAACCTGACCGGACCGACCATTCGCAGCCGCGTCATTAGTCTTCATGATCCAACACACTGCTTAGCCTGTAGTCCAATCAGGATCGCAGATTTTCTTCACCGCTTCCTCCATGGTCGGGGTTGGCGAAATGGAAAATTCGAACCTACGGCTGAGATCTGAACTAGGAGAATCGTTTCAAACGCCTGAGTAACTTTGGACGGTAGATCTCGGATGTTGAGAACCCGAGAGCGTTGGTTGGGATGCGAGGGAAGGGGAGGCGAGGCATTCCGCAACCCCTCCGCCTCATTCCAATGCCATTCTTGCCTGAACCTCACATTTCGCCTTTTGCTCTCATTTTTCACTCCCAGCTTCTTCTGCTCACCTGCTAGTTTCCTAAAGCTCATATTCCATAGCTCTAGAGTATAGCGATTTGACATGTAGAGCTCAGGCTTACGTTTACTGATGCGATTTCTCAAGATTGAAGCCGTTTGGTCTGCGTCCGACTGAATCGTAGGAGCTTCACTAACGGGAAAAAGGGAGCGGGAAGTCGCGTCATCTAGCTTGGAAACCGGCGTGTTTTACGCAAAAGGATTTTCCTCTCAGGTAATACTGAGAGCATCTGCTAAGGAGTTTCCGCGCACCGAAGTTCATTGTCTGGAGTATTTCGCGAAGTTAGAATACGAAATTGACATGCGATATTTTCTGACGTTGCGACTGCATCCTCGGAACGTGTGCCAGGTTCGTTGTGGACGCAACATCCCCAATTCGGCTGTACGCGATTTTGGAGAGCCACGCGTAACTGGCAACGGCATGATGTTCTATAGAATCTCTACTCAGGTACTTTTGAACACATCCGCATCGAGTCCTCAGTCTTTTTCCCGCATCGAGTTTTATTGTCTTTTTTCGCAACATCAGGATTCGAAAACGTCATACGATATTTCTGACATGACGCCTGCATGCTCGGCTGTGGCAGGTCGTTTTGGACGCGACATTTCACCCCGATTTGGCTGCACGATATTTTGGAGAGCCACGGATCGGCGAGCACGGCTGTATGAACTTCCAGATCGACGCTCATCCTTGGTCTTGCAGCTCAGGTAGTGTCGCAAGCCGCACCTTTCGTGATGTTACATTTAATCAAATTCGCAAATTCGTTTTCCAATCAGTTTCGCGTGTCATCAGCCATCTCAATGTCTGCAAATCGTCTTTGCGGATCCATATCGTCTCGCGATGCAGTTTCTCGTTTCAAATTCGAGACTCATTTGCGTGCATCGATTTCGCAAATAAAATTCGCAGGTCCATTTCGCGAGTACAGTCCCTTTCGCGAGCGACTTATCTGAGGCTCGCGGATCAAGGGTGGCACATCTCACCCTCAGCAGTGCGTCGGCTTCAGATAAGTACCTTCCCATCCCTAAACTCATGCCATGCTTCCTCACCTGCGCTTCCGTTGTTTCTCCTTCAAACTTTTGCCACTGGTTGGAGCCCGCTTCACAAGCAACAGACCTTCTACTGCAGGTATCCCCCTCAGGTTTAGCCCCCTCAGGTTCAGCCCTTCTCAAGGCTGACAGCCCCTCCAGGTACACCCCTAGGCATTTCCCCTCGAGGTCCGTGGCTTGTGCTGGCTGTGCTCCTACTGGTGGCCCCTCCCCTCTCTCCCCGTGCTCCCTGAATCCTCTCACCTGCCATTCGCCCTTCCTCTCCCCCCCCCCCCCCCAACGCTCTCTCACCAGTGCTGCTCGTGTGCACTGCGACGCAGTTGGAGAGGAAGGGCGCGAGGGGGTCAACACCGCCGCTCCCTCACGCGCCTCCCTGTTACGCATGCTGCTCTCTCCTCGTTCCCTCCGCTCTTCTCTCCTGTGCAGGTCACTCGGCCTCAAGGAGCAGTGGCAGGCGGACGTGGGGCAGCAAGCGAGCACGTGGGTCGCCCTCATGCCTCAAGCACCTGGTGGCAGCAGACAGCAGTAACATCGTCAGCTAAGTGCATCCACCTCGCATCCCGCATCACACCCCTTTCCATGCTTCCGCGTTTCCTTCATCCCGTCGTCCATCAAATTGGGGCCACTGCTGGCAGCACACGGTACAACCCACACACCCCGCTCACTCTCAGGTAAAGCCCCCCCCAGGTGATGCCTTCAGGTATAGCCCTCTCTCACTGCAGGTAGCAACCAGCCCGTGGGTCTGTGGCTTGTGACCGTGTGTGCACCAGTGGCCCTCCTCCCATTCTTGCTCCATCTCACGTTGCATGCATGCATCCTCTTTCCCACTGCTGCCTCCATCCCTCTCACTGCCCTTCTCTGCTCACCCTCCCCTCTTCCTTAACCTCTCCCTCCCTCCCGCCCACCCCCCTTCCCCCCCCTTCCTCCCAGCAGCGCTAGAGCCGAGCTACAGTGGGAGGGACACGCCTGCTGCCCGTGCTCCTTCAACTGCCACCTCCTCGCTCGCTTCCAGCTAAGTGCCCCTTCCTCCACGTCATCACTTGTACTTGCCAGTCTGTTCTTGCTAGTGCTTTCGCCTCTCTCCTTGAATCAGTGCCACTGCTTGGGACCGGCCCACATGCCACAGACCCCCTTACTTCAGATATTTTTTCAGGTGCAGGTATCCCCCTCAGGTACTGCAGGTTCCCTTGGGGTCTGTGACTTGTGACCGTGCTTCAATCAGTGGCCCCTCCTGTCTTCCTGATTTGGCAGCTTCTGGTGTTTCCCTTGTGCTTCTGGCCATTCCATGCACGCTCACTGCTGCTGTGTGTGTGCCTTGCTGGTGGGGGGGAGGGGCGTGGGGTCAACACCGACACTCCCTCACGCCTCTCTCCGGTGGCCGTGCAGGGACGCACACGGGAGGCTGGGAGGAGGGCTGCTGGGAGGAGTCACCTGGTGGTGCTTCAGCTGCCTTCTGCTCGCTCTCACATGACCAGCTAAGTGCCCCTTCCTCCGCGCCCTCACCCTTGCCTGCCACATCATATCGTCTTGTCCTTTTCTGTCAGTTTGTTGGTTGCTTGTAATTTCACACTTCTCCTTGAATCAGTGCCACTGATTGGGACCGGCCCACATGCCACAGACCCCCTTACTTCAGGTATTTTTTCAGGTGCAGGTATCCCCCTCAGGTACTGCAGGTTCCCTTGGGGTCTGTGACTTGTGACCGTGCTTCAATCAGTGGCCCCTCCTATCTTCCTGATTTGGCAGCTTCTGGTGTTTCCCTTGTGCTTCTGGCCATTCCATGCGCACTCACTGCTGCTCTGTGTCTGTGCCTTGCTGGTGGAGGGGAGGGGCGTGGGGTCAACACCGACACTCCCTCACACCTCTCCCCTGTGGCCG